AATAATACACACCTGGCTCTGACCCAAGGCTTTGTGTGCATCATCAAGCCGCTCCCCCAGCTGCCGTGCTTCTCTGAGCCTGCAGGCAGGAAGCCCCGTTCAGTGGCCAGCTCCTCAGATAAAGCACGGATGTGATATGGTTCAAATCCACAGCAGCCACCAATGTACCGAATCCCGGCATTGTATGCATCCCGGGCGTATTTCTGCATGTCCCATCGGGTCAGAATCCTGGGCTCCAGACCTGTCAGACAACACATGACATTTTCCTTAGTGGTGTGAATGCTGAGTCAGCATTTATAGCACTGTGGACCTATTTATAGTTTCTGTGCATTGTTTGGACTCTATCTTACCTCATCTTACCTTTGGCTATTTCAATTTCATTCAAAACATCAATTTCATTCAAACATCAAAATATTCAGTTTGTTCAGAGCATTAGTGCTTTGACTTTGGTTTTTGTGGCATTTTAAACTTTTTGAATGATTTTACTTAATTTTAAAACGAATAGAGAATTATTCAAATTCTCGAGAACAATGCTTTTCAGCACACTTGCTTCAGATTTTGCTTTTAGCTACTGTTTTACTGGTCTTACTGTTTGGCTACTGTTCTGATAATTTTAGCTTTCAGCCACTGTTTTGCTGCTCCTAGCTTTTCCCACATTGTTTTGCTAGTTTAAGCCTTTAGCTACTGTTTTGTAGGTTTTGGCTTTTAAACCTCATGCTGATATTTTAGCTGTTAACGTCAGCTTTGCTGGTCTTTTGTTTTGTTGGTTTAAGCTTACTTTTTTGCTGGTTTTAGTTTGTAGCTCCTGTTTTGCTACTATTAGCTTTCAGCAGTTTTACTTCTGTCAGACAAATTTTAGCTTTTTGATCGTTTTACTTTTACCAACTAAAGATTTCAGCACTCAGAATTCCCACTGTGTTTTCACAGAAGGTGCAAATGTTTTATGCTTTATTGTTGATATTTAGACCGTAGGATAAGATGATGACAAAGAAACATTTGGAGTTTGTACCGAAAGGGAACTCTGGAAGGTCGATGAATCCCTGTCGGTTGCAGTCGGGGGTGTGATAGGCCAGGGGTTGGCTCATGTAGTGAGCCTTCAAGCCCGCCTTCTCCACTCCCTCCTTCATCAGCTTCACAGTCTTCACACAGGTCTCCGGGTCAAAGTGGCAGTTAACTCCAACAATGTCAGCACCTATAAATATAAACAAACAGTTTTTAAACTTAATGCTGATGCAATGTTTGTCTTTATTGTTACAAATGTTAGTCATCATGTGTGCACTCATTCAGGGGATTCTGATGTTATCAGTCCATGAACATGACATTATAAGGCGTTATCAGTCCCATGCAATGGCTTCAGAATGGCCCTACTGTGCCTTCTAGCCTTCAGACTGTCCCGGCAGTGCCTCCTCGTGGGTTAATATATCAATGGCAATGAGTGTGCAAATAACCATATAAGCAAAACATATTTAAATACATTTTTGTCCTTGCCTGGTGGCATTCCTTACTCTTGCTGTCCATGCAAGTCTCGAACCCTGGTCTCCGACTCTGCTACAACGCTCTACCCGTTGCCCATACAATGTGGCCTTCTAATAAGAAGGCCACATTGTACACCTGTTGGAAGTCAGTGTCTTTGGCAGTGTCTTTAGCGCTAACCATGACATTTCCTCTAAGGTTAACCTTAGTGGCTTTTTGCATCATGTTAACCTGTTTTTTAATGCCTCATTTTAACCAGATAGTGGTTTTATGCCTCATATTAACCAGATAGTGGTTTTATGTCTCATATTAACCAGATAGTGGTTTTATACCTCATATTAACCAGATAGTGGTTTTATACCTCATATTAACCAGATAGTGGTTTTATACCTCATATTAACCAGATAGTGGTTTTATACCTCATACTAACCAGCTGACAATCAGAAGTCATTCTATGGGACGGGGGAACCTGCTAAGCGGCACAGGTGGGACATTCTGAAGCCATTCTAGGGGACTGATAACACCTAATAACGTCCATTTCATGGATGATAACATCCGAATCAGGTGACTCATTTGTCTGTTTGCAATATATCTTGTGAGCCGAAGAGCAGATTGCAATAAATTTCTCAGTCCATAGATAAACATCTACAACTGATTCATGTTTGGAGTCAATCCAGTTTAACAAATGTCATTAACCTACTAATCTACTTTAATGAATACAAAAAAGACTTAGTATAGGCCTATTTTCAGATACTGAGGTAAAATCTGATGTGGTAGTAACTGAGAATAATCCTCAACAAACAACTCCAAATATTTAAAGGTAACATGAGATCTTTCTTTAAAACTCTGGTCCACAAACATTCAAGGAACTTTAATCGATGCTTAGTTTAAATCCACTGCTCATGAGAAAGAAAGCCAAAATTCAAGTGTCGCTGTTTTCTCCAGTGTGTCAATATCACCACTAGATGGCAGCAAAACTATTGTGAGGGAATTTTTAATAGTTTAGTTTAAATTGCATTATCATAGATACTTTGACTATGCAGTGTCCTTATCATTTAAACTTACTTAAGCAACAAAAGGCTTTAAAAAAATCGTAGATGTTTTTCTTTTATCTTATGTGGAAACACGTGCAGAACCCATGCTTTCACAATAAATATCACCTGCCATTAAAAAGGGAAGATGGATGATGGTTTTTGCACATGCATGTGTTTGTGTATGAAACTAGAAGAAAACATTAGCTGCATTGGAGTATTAGCAGTTGCTATTGTCTCAGGACGATGACATCATTTGGCGGCATGACGGCTCAGTGGTTAGCACTGACGCCTCACAGCAAGAAGGTCCTGGGTTCAATCCCCGGTTCAGACCTGTGGTTTTTCTCTGTGGAGTTTGTATGTTCTCCTCGTGCTTATGTGGGTTTTCTCCAGGTACTCTGGTTTCCCCCACCCCTAAAAACATGTACAATAGGCTGCCTTCAGGCCCAGGCCTTCCTTGAAAAAGCGATCTCAGTGGGACTTGCCTGATTAAATAACGGGAAATAACTAAATAAAAGCATATAACATGAGCAATGTACCAACAGCAAAAGGCTGTAAACAATAAAATGTTACTGGAAAAATTTTAACAGTCAAAAACTGAGCAAAATAATGAAAAATATGTTAGTGACATTTTTAACAGTTCATTTTACACTTTACACTTTATTTTTGTGTGTCTGACTATAAAATCTCTGTAACCACTTATGTGCAAGAATTATTCAGTAGCTCAGTCAGTTTTATAGAAATTGACCTAAAATTTGGTTTGGACATAGCCGAGAGTCCCAACACGCTGTGAAAGTACAAACTTTATAAGCTTTGTAAAAAACGTTACCAATAATTATTTGGAGACAAATCTGTCTTGTAGCAGATTCACTATTTGACAGAGTTTACTGGAACTTACAGGAAATATTAACTAGATGAAATTTTTATTTATTTATTTACCGTTATTTTACCAGGCATTGAGATCTTAGATCTCTTTTTCAAGGGTGGCCTCGGCCTGAAGGCAACCTATAATCTACAACTGATTATGGTTTGGAGCAAGCAAACTTCAAGATGGCCACCACAGCTAAGTAATCCTAGAAATAAACAATGTTTATTTTTTGCAGATTACGCTAAAATTTGGTGTGGTAGTTGGGGGTAATTCCCAACTCATACTCCAAGTGTTATTTTCTGTTCAACATCTTTAATTAAAACTTTGTCAACAACTCTTGGGGTCAACCCTTTGTGTCTGCAGAACTGCTCATAACCTACAGGACTGATTTAATGAATCTTTCACTAAGTAATCGTTCAAATTAAATGTGGCAGGAGCTCAGGGTCGTTTACGAATGGGAATAATGTTTTTTAAGGTCTGACCAAAATTAGCTACAATTTCCTCCCCTGTCATCAAAAGATGATGCTAATGTAAAACTCTGGCATGAAAACCAGCAAGACATATACATTACTTTAACCACCATTAGGTCTTTCATTGTTTCTATTTTCCCTTCTGGTCAACATGTTTTTAGTTGACTGACAAAGACTTGTCAGCACTGGAATTGTCTTCTACATTTTTGCCAACAACAACATAACGTGGTAATTGTTGTACCAGCTTTAACCAGTCTGACAGCACAGTCTCCAGGACGGACTCCACTCAGGTCTCCCTCAGGTCCGATACACAACGAGGCAGCCACAGGCTTCCCAGAAGTCTTCAAAACCTGGACCGCCCACTCAGCCTCTTCCACATGTTCAAAGTACTGAGAGAGAACAAAACAGAAGCCACAAGGACAATTTAATTACGATGTTCGTTTTTTCAATTACCACTTTTACAATAAGGGTATCTTTATAAAGTATTTATTATTGAAGTACACCTAAGTACATGGACATTTAATTAATCATTACTACACATTTATAAAACAGTTTAAAAACACTTTTGTTTATGCTATCTTACTTAATTTAAGTTTTACATGCCAAAACAAATTTTGTATCAACAAATACTCGCTCAAATGTTGGTAATTTACTGACAAATGTTTGGCATTTCAAATTTCAAATAATACAGATAAACTGTCTCACTATTCAGCAAGAAACAAGTCAGAATTATATTTTACGCTGTGTACTGACACTGCTGCTTTTTGATTTATTGAGGGGGGAGGGGGGTACTCTGTATTTTTCAGGCACATAGTTCAGTTCTTTACCACAATCAGGTAACTGTTGCAATCAGTTGTTCTGAAAATGTTCCTTCCATTTCCTACAATTTCTGACGCTCCCTCTTCAGCACGTCTTCACATGCTTCATGGTTGGGGTGCTTTGGGACTGAGCTCCAGGGAGGAGCTATGTACAAACAGGCAGAGCTTTGTTCTAGTGTTTAGGCAGCTCCACATTCAAGGATTTCTCAAACATGCATGAGTCAAAGCAACACTCTGGGGAGGTTTTTGAAGAGGGAATGACATTATAACATGATATAAAGACCAAAAAGTTGATTTTGTGAAATACCCCCCCCTACCCC